GGCATGGCGAACCCGCTTTTATATTGCGAGCCCAGTTGCTACTCGTATGCATCCACTGTCCTGCTTCTCTTTCACATTCCCTGAGAACTGTTCCGCATTGATTGCCTCAACTGCGTTGCTACCATTGCGTCGGTCACATAGGACGTGCGTGGGAGTATCGCATGCTCTTCGCCATGGAGTCGGACAGGCCATCACCCTCGGAATCAGATGAAGATTATTCGCTTGGATATGAAACGGATTCGGTGCTCATGAATGATGCATTATCAAAGTACATTATATCATCCCTTACAATATTGAGTTCTCGTTTCATGCTAAAAATGGAAAATCCTCTCAATGTATGATGAGATTGTTCGCATTCCAATTCTCGAACTTCTAGCTCCTTTTGATCCTCTGAAAGGCAAGGACGAAGGGCGAACAGGGGCGCGGATTAAAAAATTGTAAACGGCTACCTATTTTATATGATACGTTCCAGTGTGACTTGCAAGAAGCGTGGGATGTGTCGCAAATTCTGCTGGAATTGCTATCTAACTGGAAAGATTGAAGAGAGTTGGAGCTGGAGTCCCACTTCGCCGCAATGTTTTCATGTCGATACGTATCAGCCTATGGCCTGTTTTATTTACGAGATTTATGGTTCCATTGAGATAACCTCTTCTTCAGTCATGCTGGTCTCGGCGCGGGCTGACCAGTTCAAGACTTGTGTTGCCTCTTCCTTCAGGGTAAGATGGGCATCTACAATCTGGTTGGGAAACCAGGGTTGCAAATAATTTTTTAACTCTTCCATAGCTTTAAGGAACGCTTCGCGTTCGTGAAAAGTTGCTGAGGCTAAACTTGGTCCGACCGTAAATGTCACTGAAGATTCAGTGACACTGCTATCCCTCAAAATGACAACGTTGTGGCGTCGGTTGACTATTGTAGCTTTCGACACAAATAATATAAAAATACGCTCATTGTGGAAAAAGCTCCATCAATAAGGAGTTGAGAGATCTTGATGAAATTTAGTGCACGAGCTCGTGCGTCATGGATTCGATTAGAGCGCCAAGGGCGTGGGACGAATATTCAGAGAGAAAACTTGCTCAACACTTCAAGTGGGGTCGAGAAGGTCGGACTAATTGCCCAAATCAGTGGACTTCTTCAATGAAACGAGGAACGGGAACTTTTAACAATTCATAGGGGAATCAAAACAAGATTCAATGTCAAATGGTGAGGAAACGCAAAGAAAAATCGTCGAACACCCAGGAGGAAGAGTTAATGACTTCAATGTTTTTAAACCCTCAAGTCCCTTTGGTTATTGGGCTAAGTGAGTACTTGGCTGCGAAGTCATGTCGAGATGAAATATCAGAACGTAAATTCAACTAGTTGTTGGACGTTTGATCAATGTTGGGTACTTGGGATGCATGCGTCCGTTTCATGCATTAGCCTGATGCATGCGTCAAGATGATGATGTATGCAAAGCATGCGACAAGGGTGTAACTAGGAAATAATTATTAGAACATCGGGCCTACGTTTTCATTCAACGTAGAATCAATACCATTATTGATATCATTTGAAGTTCTGTTTTGAATCTCCATTTCCTCCGGTCACGTCACTGATGAGAGGAGGTAACTTAGATCCATAGCCTAATTTTACTCTTCATAGGCCTTAGCTCGTGAGACCTCTTGTTTTCCACATAATCTTTTTTTTCTTGAACATCTTGAAGAGGCGCAGAACCCTTTCTTAACCGACTGCTCCAATACCAATAAAAATATATTTATTTGCCAATAAGCACATGCTGGGGGGGGGGGGGGCCATATTTCTGGAAACTGATATTGCGCGCTGAACCCTGTGCACTAATTGACATTTTTCAACACAGTCGACTCCGCATACTGGAATACTTAAGTGATCAGCGAACTTTATTCTATAATCCGGAGTACTCCAATAACCGAAACTATCTGCTGTATCGTACCATAAAACGGGACCGTGCTGATTCCATTATGCGAAGTCGACTATACCATGAAAACTATTTTAGCGAGAATTTCATGCAGAATACAAACGCATTTTAGCTCACGCTAAAAAGGAAATTATAATCACTCCAACCGAGTTATCGCACTGAATAATCGAAGACCTCTGAGGCACGTACAAAGCTTGAACGCTGAGATGTCCACAATGTCTCTTTCATTCGGCTGCAGGGTGAAGTCAGCATGCTTTGCACCGCAACATTGCAATGCTTCAAGTTTCGCATGGTTCGAATTTTTTATGGTTTCGCTGATGATTCGAATTCGCTCAATGATGAATTGAGTGAATTCGAATCATCAGCGATGATCATTTTTCACTCGTCTGAGCGTATACTATGATTTCCTTTCATGCTTCAATCAAAATGTTTGAGGAAAAAAATGTTTGAGAAAAATTGAAAGTGTTTAAGCATCCTATGAAGAACCATTAGACTTTCAAGGCGTATTCCAATAGTAACCCAACTTTTCAAGTAAATATAAAAGCTTAATACCTTAAAGAACACAATATAGGAATCGTTAACGGCCACTAACCCTCCAGATTTCCCGTAATGGACGTTGAACTGACATGGTCATCAACTGACTAGAGTCTGCCGTCGATTAGATTCTCGGGAATATATTCTGGAATTTCAAATTTGATTCCTTCATTGTTGTTAGGGGGATTTATCAGAGGTGCTTTAACAGTTACTCGTTCTAACAGTTTTCTCAGTCAAGAGGCTTTGAGGCCCAAAAGCGTTAGGTAGCTCTTTTCGCGTTGCTACAAATGGGCAGAGATGAAGAGTGAGATCCAACAAGTGTTTCCTCTCCTGCCTTCGTTTCCAGGATCTACCCAGGATGGACCAACTCCTCGGTATCATCCGTCATTTTGGCGAGACAGGGTCCCTAGAAAAAATGGAGAGAGGAACTGGAGTGCAAAGTGAGAGCATGTGCAATACGAGGGCTTACGATGCTGCTCATCATTCATTCCCTCTCATTTTCGTTCTGTCCTGCTCTCATTCCGCTCTCGCATTCTTTGTCACATTCTCTTGGTTACCCGTATTCTCGATCCTAGTCTTGTTTAGCAAGTCGCGATCGATCCCTCGTCCGACTGGAAGCGATTCGAATGTTGAAATCTGCCTAAAGGAGAACGCAAAAAGCGGATTGCTTCGATCTCGGAGAGGATAGAGGAGAGATGCCCCATCCCTTAATGCGATCAAGGAATGAAGTACGGGGAGGAGGAAAGAAGTGCTTGAACGCGTAGTTCCGCTTCTCCTGCTGGACAGACGTCCATCACGGATAAGAAGATTTCTTTGTTTCTTTGCTAAAGTGCCCGAGAGGGAAAAGAGAGGAAAGGAGGACCAAAGTGCTCCTATCCGTATCGTTCTGGCAACGTTTCGACACGCCGGTCCAAATATCAGTCTCTTTCATGGCCACGTAGGCACCACTCGTTATCTATCTCCTCTTCACTCCAATCTCTTCTCTATTTCTCTCTTTCCTAGGTCTTGCGTAAGACCTGGCACATCCTTCGGCAGGAGATAAAGTGACGAAATTGGCTTTCTTTCCCACACTGTCGACTACTGATAAGCTTGTGAAACGTAGAGAAGTACCAGAGGAGGCAATATTTCTCAACAATATCCATGGCTTGTCCTTATGAGCGATTCTCTTGCTCCTTTTCCTCATCGTTCATCCGAGAAGCCTTATGCGGCACTGCACCACCCATACGGCACTCCTGATAGGATGTTTTCCAAGAGAAAACCGGGAGATGGATTCTCGGGTGTGCATAGGATCAGATTTCCCCAGAGGGAGTACCGGGAAAATGAAGGCAATGAAGGAGTTATTAATGAACTAATGGAGTTCATTTGTGGCGATGCGAGATCGCCATCTCGGGCTGGGGGAGGAGGATGCGGATGCGCAACTCCCGAAAGGGGAGAGAAAAAAGTCTGGATTTCCCAGCCTCTCCCTCTTTCGCCTTCCCCCCTCATCATCGTCATCGGTCTCTTGTGTCGTGTGGACCGAAAGCTTTCTTCCTTTCTGCCTGTGCTATCCCGTGTCCCGTTTCCGCGCTTAATGACCTCCTCTCGGAGTTCGAGTGACTGATTTACCGCATTCACTCTGGGGCCTCTTCCAATATCCCCATCGATTTCTGATTCCGATTCAGATGCATGGTCAAGCAACTTCCTTATATTTCTTGACGGTGTCAACCGTGTAGGAGGGTAGCTTAGTGAACTCGGTCGCTATACGATAAGTAGGGTTTACTGAGAACAGGAATACGTATAATTCCCCATGGGATCTGGAAAGGAAAGGAGGGAATGGGAAAAAGGAAGGAAGGAAAGGAAAGAAGGAAGGAAGTAATTGTCATCTGCATGGGAAAGAAAACAGGAGGGCTTCTTCTGCTCTTTTTTCCTTTACTTCTACCTTTTGCACGCCACTTCACGGAATTAAATCCGTATTCTTCAGAGAACGTACAGTGAGGTCTATAACAATAAAGATCTGAGTAAAAGATTTGTTGAAACGCTCGCAGCCAATATTCCATTAAGAATTATCTAGAGGCAGCAAAAATAATTTCCTCACAGAGGGGAAGAAAGCCAGGAAGGGAAAATAGAAGCAAGAAAATGGAGATGTATTCGCTATTTCTTTTCGTTTCGTATTCCTCATCTTCATCGTCCTTGTTATGGAGGTTCATAGTACTTGGGAGAAAGGAAGCTCGGAGACGCCCAGTGGGGATGGGGAACAGGACGCAGGCAATAGGGTTAAAGGCTTCATACAGTACACAATGGACTCATCATGTACTCTGTTCCCCCTGCCAATATTTCCCTTCCCTTTTCCGCTTCTACCCCCCGTCATCATTTCTCTGTCACGCTGCTCTGGAGATCCAGGAAAACAATTTTCCTCAGAATAGATCTAATTTTAGCTTCACTGCTGCTAGAACAATTTTTTTTTTCAGGATGCAAGAAAAACAGCAGCTTTAAAAAAGTGTCTGATACAAGGAGGAATATCTAATTTCGTATGTCGTTTCCCCCGTGTGTAAATACTCAATTTTCCTCTCTCGTCCAAGTATTACCCAGCAATTGCAGGTGAACAGCCCCCAGCCCATTCCTTATCCTATCATTTGAGGGATAGAAATAACCAAAAAGGAAGGGCGAGGAAGGAAGGAGAGGGAAAGTAAGGAAAATAGAAGGAAAAAAAGCATAAGGAAGGTGATGGATGTGGGAGCGGCGTCGATGAAGTCGGCGACGGCCCCACCCGAGATCAAATTCCTGTCGTCAGGAGAGGAAAGTAGAAGTCCGTCGTGGTCGGAGGGTGGAAGGTCGCCGACTTACGCCATCTGCACCTTTCCTGCCTTCTACGGCAACATGAACACGACCGGATTGAGGGATTCCCTCAAGAGCATTTCGAATCCGAACGTGCGTGGATGTGTGAGTCCGGGCTTGGATGTCCCCAGGATTCAACCCTCGGGCTATTCCTGCAACATCCAGTGTCGTTACTGTCAGTTTGTCGCCAGCGGCGTCATCTCTCCCGTCAGATCCCCCGTCAGTAAGTAGAACCATCCAGCAAGTACATTTCCTCCTTTGCTGGTTCCTTACTACTCCATCAATCTCATAATTGGACCTGTTTGTTGGTTTGGGACGTGTGTATTTTATTTCAGCTTGGTCTTGAGCATCAATGTCTCCCTGGAGCAATTTGTCAAGATTTTGATTATTCAGGTCGTGAAGTTCTCGTAACCCTCCTGGAAATGCATGAGGTAAAGAGGAGAAATTCTTCAGCAAGAGGGAATTTAAGATGAACTAAGAGGCAGGGGCCTATAAGTGCATGCCCGCTTGACGAGAGAACCATGCATGCTAGTCCGCATTGCAGGCAGCGCTTCTCTGGGAGAAACAATAAATTCCGCTCCGGTTTCTTCCTCTCTTTCCTGTTTTGTCGGCTATTGGCGGAAGCATAAGACTGGAGCTTTTATGGAGAGGGAAAATCCAGACGAACTTGATTTTTATGACGGTGCTCATGTTTCGGGTTTGTCGCACTATGTCGTCTCCCCACGTGTCGTACTCGCGAATTCTCTCTGCATGCATGAAAGCCAGTGAAAGAATTAATTAACTGATTGAGTGATTGAGCGGTCGTATCGCTCTTATTGAGTGGCTAGCAGAGAAGCCGGCGTGCGGCCATATCTAACTTCCCGATGGACGAAGATGAATGGAGAGAGAGGGACAAAGAGTGTCAATATTTGGCGGAATGATGGAATCTCTCCCGGCTATTTTTCCCTCTCCATCCTCTCTTCTTTTTGTTCCCGCCTTCATGAGGCCGCATTTGCAATCTGCAAGGGAAGGGAAAGGAAGGGAGAGAGGGAGTCATTTCCTTTCGAACATTATTCGCTGGGATTGAGGCCCGTCCCTTGAGAACGCCGATGAGTAGCGTGTGGATACGAATCGCTAGTCGTGAGAGAGAAAAGAGAAGAAAGGAGGACGGAAAGAATTGCGGAAGGAGGAGAGAGGGAAGCGATTCTCTTATGATTGTCATAGTCTTGGCTGTATGGGATTGGCAGGCGATTCTCAACGGAATCTTCCTTCGTGGAATCCCCTCCAGTCACACAAATGTGCTCACATATTCTCCCTCGTCCCTTTTCCTTTTTCTTTCGATCGATTTGTTACTTCTTTGTATCCCTATGTGAGACTCAAGATCTATGATTGTCGGGCGTGTTTCGGGATAGTACGAGGAAATAATGGCTCCTTGTCATGAAAAATTTCCCTTCCGCTATCAGTGCAGGGTCTGATGAATGACCTTGGTTCCTTCCTCCCCCAAAAAAGCGCCCTGAAAAAAGAAATAAGTTCCTTTGTAATCCCTCCCGCCTTCCTATACGTCTCTATTGAGGAGGATGGATGATCAGGTAGACATAATACACCCAGAGAGCGATGGATATCTCCTTCTCTCAGGTGCTTCTTTCTCCTATAATGGGTGCACAAGAAGACTTACGTGCACACCTGCTTCTCCGACTACTGGGATCCTCCTTCAGTGGCGCATATACGTGTGTTATATCGATCCATCTTTGATCGAAGGCGGTGAATCCTCAGGAGCCTCTCCCTCTCGACCTTGGTCGAGATTAATTTTACATGCATTGGAGAACTGCACGAAATCCCCCTGGATCCCAGCTCGCATGCATCCCTGATACGTTTTTTTCTCCTCTCCTTTCCTCTCTTCTTCTTTCGCTTCATTTGGCCTTCGAGAAAGGTCTAGCTAATCAAAGACTCTTTCGCTCACGGTCAATGAGCTCCAGAGGGTTTAATCGAAAGAGGGGCTTTCATGGTCTTATCGTCATGCCGAGGTCTCTCTTCATTCGTTCTGATAGAAGACGTTTCTTCATAATATCCAGGAGGAACTGGTGCCTTGCATAAAGGACTCCGACTCTTGGAAAGACTGATTGGAGCGGAAAATAGAAAGAAATTTCGAGACTTGAAGCAGATGGACGGATGAGATCTTTCCTTTTTCATTCTCTCTCATTCGTGTGGAAAAGCCTATTTGCACTTGCGCTGCCTTTACATGAACTGAAAGCCCCTCTCTATTCCCAGAATCGATATCAGGCATTCCCAGAAAACGCAAGTAGTTTCAATATGGAATGAACTTCTTTTTTTAGCTTCTTCACGGCTTGGTTGGCTCGAGATGTTGATGTTAACGGACCCATTGACGTCAGATATAAGAGGAGGAAAGGAGTTGGACTGACGTCACAGCAAAAACGACTCTGAAGACAAGTTTCAAATTAAAATTTTCCCAATATTTGAAACGATTATATTCTGCTAGAAGAAAGAAGGGGTTCGAGGAAATACCTGGCATAAGTACAACATGAATATATATTAAAGGAAGGAATTGGGTCAATGGCGATGCATCAATATAATTTCTCCTCATCTTTCATCAAGCTATCATCATAAATCGTAAACAATTCATAAATCATAAACAATTAGAGGAAAGGCAGAAATATGGAAGGTCATATGATTCGATTAAACAAGACTTGAGTCGGCAGTTCACGTCTTCTGTCCTCTGGGAATTCTCAATTCACTTGGCCCACCCCGCACTTTTTTCCCCCTTGCACATGCTTTTTTTCTCTTTTTGTTTTGGGGGGAAGTCTATTTGCTTCTGTCACCCACTCTTCGACGTGCCATCGTGTCATTCACCTTACATGACCTCGATGGAAACGGTCTCTTCTTTTGACTGCTCTCATGGTTTTCCTCTAATCTCTTCTTTCTTCCCTTGTTTCGATGCAGAGATAATCGAGAACGTGAAGAATGGATCGAAGCCCCCCTTCAGGCCGACGATGAGCGAAGACGTGTCGGATGAAGAAGTTCTTCGTCTCATGAGACGGTGCTGGGCCGAGGAAGCGTTCGAGAGACCCGACTTCCAGGAACTGAAGGGAACCATCAGGAAACTCAACAAGTGAGTTCCGGCTTGGCCCAATGACGGTCCTTAATCCGGATATTGTGGAGGTCGTAAACTTCTCCAATGTCAACACTGGAGGGATTATTCTTCCCTGAAAGTATGACGTAAATTGCGACTCAGTCCAGGAAATGTGACTTTTTTTGTCGACGCAAAGATATTAAAAGCTGGAATCGGAATGATTGGGACAAAAACGAGCAATCACGCCCGCAGATGATACCGAGACAATTTATTATTTCCCCCTCTTTATTTTTACGAGTACCGTGTGGGCAGGTCCCAGTGATTGTTTTGCTTCGATCCCCAAGGGATGGCAGTTTATTGCCATAGGGTGGGTGCTGCAAATGTCAGCACTCTAAGCAAATTCTGCACTTCCATCTTGCTTGTTAGTTTTCGTAATGGAGCTTCCTCGTTCATATTAGGTCTGGTGATACCTTTATTATAAACCTTCTTGTTCCGCAAACCTCGAGCTCCCCAGGCCTTTCATTTCCGAGGGCTTGGATCAAAGGTGAAGTAGGATCAGATGTTGGCAATCTCGGCACACTTGTTGGTATTGACGGCACCACCATATCGGGAATCTCGACACACTTATTTATCACTATCGTTTAAAAAATGGATCTAAAAATGAATGCAGCGACCAGATAAAACAATACCTAATGTTGAAGAGAAGAACGGAATGTGCAAAAGCTTAGCAAAATCACAAGATTTCGCTGTATTTTCGGAGTGCGCGAGAAAGTGGCGACTGCGAGAAAACTACAACAGCAAATGTGACTGTTCCAAGCACATGTTAACAACATTAGTCCTACCATCTGAGAATACTTATCTACCCGTGCTTAGAGGACTAGTAGTGGAAGCAGAATTTTGACGATTGCAAAGTGCCGAGATTACCCCCAGTGCCGACAATCGCAACACTTACCCTATATCTCTCGGTCTCCTTCGATCGAAGAGAAGCTCGGAAATGATTGGATGACCTCCCGATGAACCCGGAGTTTCTTCTTTACTGGATCGCCGATCGCCCATTCGTGTGGAAGAAGACCGCGTTGATGGGGAATTCCCTTTCGCTTATTCGGGTTCGATGCCCTCTCCTTGGAATCCGTGCCTCTCTTGAGTCTTTCGTCTCGATAGGGTCCTCCTTCGGCCTGGCCAGTGTCCAAAAGAGATCGAGACGAGACTTGTCTGTCTCGATTAAGGTCTGATGGACCTTAATTCTTAGTCTTGACTGACATTAAATGCAACGCGCATTGACCTCATCCAACCGGATTCTTCAGGGGAAAAAATCACCGGGAAAAGCATTCCCAGAGGTCGTCCTTTGCTTTTGTCGTGAATCTTTCTGCAACCATTGAATTTAATGAAAATGTAGAGCGAAGGGCAGGAAGATGAATAAAAGAAGAGTCAGGAGAGAGAAATAGAAGGGAGAAAGCTTGATGTAGTGCAGGCTTTGGACAAGGTCGGTTCGGGGAGTGCGCACCGCCATCGCAGGCTAATCAGAGGGAAGACACTCTGGCCTAGCGCAAATACAATCAATGAGATCTCCATCCTCTGTTCTTTCTCAACCATTCATCTCTTTCCTCCTGCTTTCTATTTTCATTTTTTCTTTCTTTGGTGGTGGGGGGAGGTTGGGTTTGCGTCCTACACTGCATTCTGCCCGTCCAATTTCTCTTGAGGTTCCTATCTACGAGTATATGCATCTTTACAGTTCTCATATGGCGCCTTGGCTCAGGCAGCATCCAATCCTCATTTCCATTCTGCTACAACTTTCTTTTTTTAATTTTACGCTAGAGATCCATGCCTCAGGCGACGCTGATCTCTCTGACTATTCTTTCAGGAAACGCATCTTCATCTGCTCATACGTTCTCTTTTCATTCCCTGTGCATAGTTTTTTGCATTAAATCTTTTGTATTGAAAGTTGGGCCATTTTCCTCTCTCTTTGCTTTCTTTCACTCGCTTTTCCCTTTCCGAGGCGAGACGTCATTAATCTTCTCGGTAATTATATGCCAGAGACAATTTTGATTGATTGACGCTAACCTATTTGCTTGGAAAGGAGTGACTTAACCTTGCCTCTCATCTTCATCCCCCTAAAGAATCCTTCTCTTCCGCTCCTGGTGAGATTCATTATATCCATAGGGTTAATCAGACGCTTTGATGGTTTTGCTTCAGCAGATGAATGGATCAAGCCAGCAGGGAAGATGCCTCAGTCTATGTGCTGGGATATGTGCTTCATGAGTTGACGTTTCCAGCATTTTGAATATGTAAATCATAACTTATTCTCTTGGGATCTTGGGTTTCCTGGCCTACGATATGAATTCTCTCTCGACTTGTTGATGGTGTGACTCGTTCTCTATTTGGAATATGCATGGAATATTCTTCAGAGTATGCATGACGGAGCTACTCCGGGGCGGAAACGTGGGATAAATGTCGTCTTTTCAGGACAGCCTCATAAAGTCTTTATTTTATATTCCCACGAAACAGGATTAAATCAGCGCGTCTGAAGAGAAGGGGAGGAGGCACACTTCACGCATTGAGGGAGGGAGGAAAGGCGATTGAATCGACAACTTGCATCCCATTACCATTTTAGATAATAATGCATACTGTAGATACTGTATTTTGCTAAAAGTCCAGACTCTCACACATAAATTCACTGTGGGATTCAGTAACCACATGACTGACCAATAAGAGATATACACGGTCTGTCCATTGCCTTGAACATTACTTAACAGCGCGATGGCAGCACGATGGGACTCACTTACCTTCTTAGGGGGCGCGGTAGCTCGGTTGCAGCTGTTGGGAATGTTGTCTATCTACTGCGACTCTTAGACCCTTCCTTCAATGGGTCCTGTCATAGCACAATGAAAGACTCCTAGACCAATATGTAACGTTCTCAGTGTGAAGAGTTTCAGGCAGTCATTTATGCCGGGAGGGGGGGGGGGGGGGGGGACCTGCATTAATTAACTAATGAGGCCATGGGAATGTACGATATGCTCATGTGTTCATTGATGGTTCCTGGGTTCCTGACTTTTGGTTAGATAATATGAATTATTATTGTATTAATTTATGCTCATTAATGCATAAATTATTTATGCATTTTAGCATTAAAGTACCCCATGTCTCTAAGGTTTTCTCCTTATTTAGAAATGAAGTACAATACAGGTCTTAGTGGGTGACATGCATGACAGCATTGGATACTTAATTGTGAGAGGAGATTCTCCTCTGATATACATGTTTTCGTGGTTCACCTTTTCAAACTAATCGAATACAGGAAACGGGTAAAGCGAACTGTATAAAAGATAAGTTTGAGTGTTTTTGTCTATGCAGCCTATAAAAACTGGAGGCACGTTTGTGATTAACAGGGAGAACGAGAGTGGGAACATATTGGATAATCTCCTGTCCCGAATGGAACAATATGCAAATAACTTGGAGGCCCTGGTCGAGGAACGGACGGCGGATTACTTGGAGGAGAAGCGACGTTGCGAAGAACTTCTCTATCAGCTTCTTCCCAAGTACCCTCTTTCTTTCACATCACTGGTAATGTAAGGAGACGTGGAGGCATGAAGTGAAGCATGGTTGCTTTTGACACAGATCGGTGGCGAGTCAGCTCATCAACGGACAGTCGGTGGTGGCGGAGACCTACGAGAGTGTCACCATCTACTTTTCCGACATCGTCGGTTTCACCGCCCTCTCAGCCGAAAGCACTCCCATGGAGGTCCCTCTTTTCCTCCATCTTTCTCCCTCTCCTCCTATTTCCACTCATCTCTCACAGTTGTGGAGGGTGGGGGGGGCTTGGAATGTAGAATACTCCTTGAAATAGCATTTTTTTTTGGTAAAAAGGATTAATTTTTATATCCAATTCTTCACAATGGCACTTTTGGCATTTAATATGCAAAATTTTATTCGCCTAGGTACTTGAAAGAAATCTACGTTTACGAAATATGAATTATTTTCTTAAAACCTTTAGTACGCAATAATTTCCAGCGTGTCTTCTTTGGTTCTTTACGCATGAGAACATTCATAACTCACTTAATATGAAAATCATCCTTTAATTTCAATATTTTTTTCATATATCAGCTGTAGTTAGACAACTTATTGATTGCCAAGGTTACGATTGGGTGAAACGCGTGTAGGTGGACCTCCTCCTTCAGAACAAGTGCTTTAAGAGTACATTTATGGATGAAAAAAATATATAATTATTTAAAACCATATTCAGTGTCCATCCCCGATTGGGCACGGTGTGAGCGAGAGAGTTGCGCACTTAACGCAATGGAAGGATTGGGCAGATTTTGGTTGATATAAAGGTCTTTTCAATCCTAATCCTTTTGAGTCTGACTTCTCTGAAAAAATGTTGCATCTCTTATACAACTTTCTGGAATGCCCCGAAATTTAACATTGAAGGTTGAAATGTTGAAAGTGTATTGTGCTTCCTCTACTTTATTTGAAATATGACTTGACATTTTGTATTTAAATTCCTATATTATTAAATGATTGTATGATGTATTTTAAATATGTACAGGATGTCCGAAAAGCCCCTATCTAAATTCGTAAACATGATTTCTGCCATTTTCCCAATCGTCAGGACTCCCCCATGCCAGAACAAACATTACGGGTGGCATGCACCACAGACATTTAACTTTAAACTGAACTGGTTTCATAATGAGCATCCATGGGAATAAAATTATCTCTGTCAAACGGATTCCCGTTGAGAATCATTGTGAGATCAGATTAGTTTAAGTTAAACAGATCTGGTGCATGTCAGCCCTATATCGGCATGCGCGGAAACCCTACACCTGCCTCAGGAATAGAGTTGGAGGATCTTGTGTTGCGCATAAAAATCTTAGGGGGCGGTCGCGCTCCCTATATCTGCCACTGTCTTTGGTCGTACATATATGCGCCATTTGATATTATACAAATCCTGACATGACGCTATTGAGATATTGTGACCACAGACATGCAGGTTCGGTGTTGCATTATCGTCGACGAGACGCGACCGTATAACAAAACCTTGAACCCTCCCACGCTGGTCTTAGTGCTTGTAAGGGGGGTCCACGTGTGTCAAAATGATGCCCCTACCGCCTTGGGTGGACACTGAAGATCGGAGAGATGCTGGAGGCTGTATTAGACAATTTCGATAGGGACGTTTCGGACTCCCTGTACTTCCCAAAATATCTCTCTACAATGCTCGTGTCCATCACGAACACCTTTAGAGATATCCATGTGGACTTGTCTGTTTCTAGGTGGTGGATCTACTGAACGACCTGTACACGTGTTTCGACGGCATCATCGAGAACTTCGACGTCTACAAGGTCCCTTTCTCATTCCCAGTCTCTATTAACCCAAAACTCTTCCATCTGGAAATGAGTGGAATCTGTCATAGTCTTGGAAAAGGAAAGAGAGAAGGATATGAAAGCATTCAGCCTATTGACATTGGCCTGCATATCCATCTTCGAGGAGTGTAAACTGTCCTCATTCTCACATTTTCATCCCATCTCTCTCTGTCCCCCATTCCCCACGAAACTGCGTACTCGAATAAGAGGATGAGATGGAATACCCCCGATTGCTAAGTGACTCCATCACAGAAGGGGCTACCTTTCAAATGTGTCGGGAGTTTTATGTACCTCCTCCTGCACATTCCCACATTTGTTATATTTAGGAAACGAACTTTCTAGATCAGAAATCATGCAAAAGATTGATGCGGATAAGACAAGAAATCTCGAGAATGAGAATTTGTCCTCACGCCAATACCAATCAGGGCTGCGGATTCAATCGCTTCTTCAAGTACATTCATTATTTAAAATTTTCAAATTCAGTATTCATATTGGTTTATAATCAATATTTTAAACAACTATACATTTTATCTTTTTATTTAAAAATGTATTAAAGGTTCTAACAATAAACGGTGACATGCACCAGATCCGGTTAACTTTAAACTGATTCGTTTTCGTAATGGACGTCTATGGGAATAAGTTCAATTAAACTGATTCCCATATGGGACCATTGTGAGATCAGATTAGTTTAGCTTAAACAGATTCGGTGCATGTCACCCAATATATGGCTTAAAGCCTTAAAGAGAGCCTTAAATATTAAAATGAATGTTCCACCTCTTTATGATCTGAAGATAAATTTTTTGCCAGACTCATCACATTGAGTTGGTGGCTCCGATGGTTGCGCTGAGTAATGAGGATCTCACTCAGTGATACTGCAGATGGCATTTTGTAAATAATATATCTCACATCTTTGGAATGGTTTCCTGCCTTCCAGGCGGACGGGAGGGCCTTTCGTCATGCATTTGCTCATCTGTAAAATTCTCATGGAATTTTCTTGAAATTTGATTATAATTCATGCCAGAATATTCTATATCTGTGTCGATGCAAGTGAAGTTATGGTACTTATTCATGTAAGCAATCAATACTTGTTCTGCTCGAAAAGCAAGAACCAGTTTGAATGCCCTGTGTGCCCAACAGTCTGCGAATTACCCAATTTACATGTTATACACATGAAGATGAGATGGAAGTCTGATCATTTGCCTGGCATATATTAATATCAGATGTCCAACTAATAACTCAACTTGACTGTGTGATATTTCTTGTTTTCATCTTGGAAGGACCTAATATACGGCACGGACGCAGACCGCGACACTTTTGACCTCACTTGCAGATAACCTTTGTTCAAAATTTTTTATTGGCAAGTAATTTAGGAATTAAAATATCTTAACCCAGCTTTGAATGATGAAGCAAAGGGTCATTTTACCGTGCATATCCAACTACAAATGTTCATCTTACAGTTTTAGCATCACGATCCTGCTAAGATCTCGTCTGAGGCATGAAAGTGGGGTTAATTTTGCATAAAAATAAAGAATATGCGTTGGGATTTTTTTTGGAAACCGTGTTCATTTTGATTCTCTTCCCCGGCTTCAAACTTTTTAGAATGGAGAGCTTTTTTCGTTTGGGACTCACTTTAGTGCAGCTAACCGTTCTCACTGATTGCAACCAGAGCCTGATTGCCCAAATTTCAATTATGGGATTCAGAAGCCCTATTTTTGATTGCCTGTTGCAATGGAAGTATTGAGTATGGTTCCATGTTATTTTCCTTTTAATAAACTTTCGGAATTGTGTTTCAGAAAGTCAGATCAAAACTGGTAACTCTAACCGTGCAGCGCATTACTGTATTGAGGCACCCCCATGGGGGGAGACATCTTCATCTTTCTGGGCTCTTCATCAATGCGGAAAGAAAACTAAAATAATAGAAAAATTCCAGACTGATCATAGTATGATTTGGACCATAGGGAGCCAGTGGGCTTCACGTTGTGCTATGTTTTGCTATGGTCAGTGCTATTTCCCGTAGCTCACGCGTTTTTGACCTTCCTTGATGAGCCTGGAAGTAAATGGGGAATGTGCACTTGGATCTAAATCAGGTGGAGACGATTGGGGATGCATACATGGTGGTGAGTGGATTGCCTGTTCGCAACGGGAAGGCTCACGCCCGGGAGATCGCCCGGATGTCCCTGGCTCTCTTGGAGAACACGCAGCGATTCCGCATCCGTCATCGTCCCACCGAGCAATTGAAGCTCCGGATCGGGCTCCACACCGGGCCCGTCTGTGCCGGCGTCGTCGGTCTCAAGATGCCTCGCTATTGCCTCTTCGGCGACACCGTCAACACAGCTTCCCGGATGGAATCCAACGGACTTCGTGAGTGATGGTTCTTGATGTCAGAGTCGGAAATCATAGCTCGAATCCGGATGGCCCTTTTTTTTTTCTTTTAGCTGAGAACGAATGGCGGTTGAGATCACCGCTAATTGGATTGCTCGCATTCCCATCCCATTCCAAATGACAGGGGGGAAATATTAAATCCCTGATTCACTTCTGTCCAGAAAATCCATCATGGGGAATCAATTATTTTCGCTGGTTGAGGTTTCCATACAGATATGTAAGACCGTTGCGATTGAGAGGATTGCATGAGATGTGTGAAAGAAGTCACAGTAGAAGTTACATGATGGCTGATGAGCACAGTCCTATTCTTTCCCATTTGGCGAAAAAAAAACAACTGAAGGAGGTTTAAATACTGGCGTCACACGATGGAACCCCTACAGGATTGGTAAAATATTAAGTTAGTTGGAAATTAAGTAACAGATAGAGAATGGAGTTGGTGAGGGGATCGCCTTCGCGGAATCGTAATTTCCTTCAGAGTAAATGTTCAAATTTCAACACTTCTTAGTTGGAAAGCATAAACTATCGCATAATCATTTCTAGTTAAAAGGAACGTAGGGTCAGGTATTCATTGTCATCGGTTCAGTTCAAAACGAAAAATGCGACGGAGGTCGAGCAGTAAGGCAGCGAACTAAGTTCTTTTTACATCACTAGAATGATTGAAAGAATGCTCGTACTTATATTGTCACTCGAAGAAATGAATTTCCTTGCCAGTCTCAATAAAAAGAAGGTAGCTGGAACGAACTATGACGAAAAACTGTTTCCGGATGAAGTTGCAGAAGGTACGAGTCGCCTTAGTTACTCGGTTACATTTGTTGAAATAACTATTCTCGCGTTCAAGCTTATCTATTTTGGAGGAAGAAAAAATGTCCCATTATCGAGGAGGCTTGTGAATTTTACTTCTCGTTTGGAATTTGTACAAAGGAATGGAAAGTAGGGACTGTGGGCTCATCAGGATCAGATTGGTTTTTATGCAGTGCATGCGCACAGACGGACACGGGTCACGTGACTTGTCATGTCCAAAGCCCTTCCTGGATCTTTCATTTTTATGCATCTATGAAATATTCAAACCAGCTGATATCCCAATTTAAATAATTATCTCAACTGATAATGACTGCTTCGTATCTATGCTTGTGCTGTTGATGGCTGATGTCTAATATTAATTATGCGTGATTTCAGCGCTGATGATACACGTGAGTCCGAAAACGAAGGAGGTTTTGGATATTTTCAAGACATTCCGAGTCCAACTCCGAGGGGAAGTGGAAATGAAGGCTAGTCGCAACAATATTCTGCTTTCTTCTTTTCTTTTTCTTTCCTTCTTGTTCATGACTCCGAAGGCTTCTTCTATTCCATAGGGGAAGGGGAAGATGACGACGTATTGGTTGCTGGGAGAAGAAGACCCATTGGAAGGTCCTCCGCTTCAGAATTCCCTCAAGGAGAATTGTATCAATGCCTTGGACCTAGAAAAGGCAAAGGAATCCCGGATGTGAACTCGGTCTCGGAACCTCACTTCACCTCACCTGATGTTGATGATGACGATGGATCTCGTCCCTTCCTTCTCTCTGTCTGTCAGGGGGAGCCTATGTTTCCTAAACTTGGAAACGAGAATGGTGCTGTTCCTGCAAAAGGCGGCTTTCCGCTCGTGAAAACACAGACAAGGAACTGGAAGCCTTCCTCCTGGAAGTCTTCTTATTTTGTTCTTCCCCAAATCTAGTCCGACAGAAACACGCGACGAAAGTACGTGATTAAATCAATTTGTATCATACTCTAGTGATGTCTAGACGTAAGGGACGAATTCTCCCTCCTCCGACTTTTTTTTCCTGCCCCATCTCTACGACAGAGACGTGATGTCCCTCATTGAATCCATGTTGATATGGAAGTGAATAAAATATTTATGGAACTGTTTCTCACAAAGTCTCTTCATGGAGTATTTTTAAATTCGAGAAATCAGTGAACAGCCTGATGAGGCGCAGTGGGAACGATTGAGATGATGATGATGATGATTGATTATGATTAAGTCCCCGGAATCTCGCGTTAAACGGAGTAAATAATTAATGAAATTACCCCACATCATATTATGCACCTAGATTGCAATGTCTGGCTGGGCATAGCCCACAAGGAATGGAACATACACTGAAAACGCAGTATGAAGTGAGACTGCCTTACAATTTTTTAGCCTCATGGCAGTCTCACCTCATATTTATTCATTTATTAATGCTTTCATATTTGTTTTACGTAGTGGATTCAAAAAGTTTCCGGACTGGATCTGCTTTGGAACACTAGTCACGGTTAGAGCAATTTATTAGATGTTTCCTTGAAAGCGGTGACCCTGGCTAGTCACACACTTTCGCCAGCTTCTGTACAGTTCTTTGAAGCAGGGTGTGAAGCCATTTGAGTCATTCCATCTCAAGTGGTCCAATTTTCGAGGAGTTGGTTGCTGCACCGACTGGGATTTTGGTGTAAAAAAAATCATGCTTACTAGAGGTATTGAGAAGCTGATAAATCCAAAATTGCAGCAGTCCATGTTCAATGGTCTTCGAGATCCGCCCCCCTGAAGTTTTGGATATAAGGGTAAAATGACCTCCCTAATAAATGCAACATCTCCTAAACTACTGAAGCTAAAAAGCTGTGTAATAACTCATTTTCAAGCAATCAACTTGGCCAACATAAAGTGTCTTATGGGTTTTTCTGTAACTCAACTAGGGAAAACGTTGCTTTTTCATGAAATTTCTAAATTTCTTACATTTTCATCGTAAAAAAAATTCCTTAAGAATGCACGTAACGAGTCCAGCTTTGGCGTGTCTTTCATACTCCATGAGGTCACTCGGAAGATACACTTATTTTATGTTAATGTTGTTTCAAAAACCTGCAATGCGTGCTTAAACTTCGAAATTTTGCCGTATTCGGTCGACTTTTACCTTCAATAACTTTTCTCTGATTCCAGATCCATGCATGCTTCTTCCATAGAATGATAGATCATTTAAAGGTCTTTCGAGCCATATAGTGTCATCGTGTTTTCCGAAAGACTGAACGTTGAAGAAAACTTTCAATTTGTCATCTTAAGCAGGATTTACTATCGAGCAAGCACCCCACCTGGATCAAGTTTCAGGCGGGGAAAACATTTGTTTACTTATTTTGTGACTTTGCTTGACTATATCGTCTGAAAGAACTCTCGGATGCAGCTGATTTTGGCAGAGAGAATCGTGGGCCTGAACGTTCTTATTCACGTGCTTAAAAAATGACATACCAAGTACATAGGTGGCGCTGCGGTAACCATCAGTGCCCTCTATCGGCATGCAACGCCATCTTGCAGGTTGAGAAGAAACCTCCTTGACTCATAAATCTCTCTGCCATATATCAGCTGAATCACCTTGAGAAGTTATAGCTAATCAATATTGGGTGAGGATTTTTGATAACCCTGTATTTGTACTATTTCAAACTTCAAGAAAATATTAAATATCGTAACGTTTTGAAAATGCACATAGTTGCTTCTCAAGTCGTGTCCAATCCACAAAATAAGTAAACAAATGTTTCCCCTCCATTCCGCTTCCATTGCTCGCTTCCATTGCGCAACTCCGACCCCCACATATTAGAAATCTTCCTTTTGATAGACATGACCCTAGCTGTAAGCCAAGAACTTCTTGTCTCAGATCCGTATTGAGAGAGAAATAGCCCACATTGACAGAATGCATCTGTTCATTTGCATACCTAAACCAATCCACCATGTGGACGGAGAGAGTCAAGGACAGATAGGGGAAAGGGCAGTCCCTGACGTCACAAGGCGCGAAACGTTAGACTCTTACCCTTTTCCATGTTAACGACCAACATGCCTTTCGGTGCCGCTATACGGGGGTACCAACTATCTACTGTCAGCTATACTGATGACTGCTTGATTTTAATTAATTGCTAATTTTAATGCCGATTGAATACCCATTCGGTATTTAGTATATTCCCATTGGGATCTTTCACGGCGAGCAATCGTGCAGGGATGGACCTGATCCAGTTCACAAAAATGTGTGTGGCATATCCATGATCCGTAGCCTGCGAAAAACTGCATTCAAGTATTCAAGGATCTTTCATTCTGAGAATTTTCCTCTTTTATCCTCTGAAAGGACCAGAGCGAGGCGTAGAATCCATTTTTACGTCAACATTAACTTTATTGAGAAAAATAGCGAAAAAAGATATCATGTGGAGCTAGAGGGTGAGAGAGACAAAAAGATATCAGTAGGCTGCAGGGTGGTAGAAAAGAGAACATGGTTTAGGGTTAACGCATTTCGGATGGATACATCATGAAATGAATTAAATAAAATTATACCAATGCTTACTTACGTGATTACGTGATATTAATTTCTAAAATATTGGCATGCAGTACGGTTCATTGTGAATTTGGGACAACTTCACAGGCAGCGCACAACCTTGGGACGACGTTAGCAGCAAGTGGGGAAGCGTGAGCCCACATCACATTGACCTTGTAGGTCCCACATCGGCGCCAAGGAGGAAGGCAACATTTGTCATATCTCTCGGCAAGGCATCTATCTTAGTTATTTGAACAAAAAAGCTTCCCAAAAATGAAGCGAGATGGCGTCTACTTACTGCAAAATCAGTTTTATAAGGGAGTGACTAGTGATAAGACCCCAGTAGTTTTCATGCGGTACTTGATATTTTCCCCCAGACAACGTAGGGGAAAGGTCCTTGATTTCCTATTTTAATTTGTTCAAACAGATGAAGCTATTCAAGGAGACTCTTGTTAATCGTGGAGAAAGCACGGTTTAAATTGGGCTTCGACTTGATGGGGTGAGGAGAAGCTGCGCCTGGCTCCCTTTGGGGGTTGTCGATTCGGGTGCGATAAAAGAGAGGATCACCTGAGAATCTAGTCGGAGAAGCACATTCAAAGCGTAAAAAGAGCCATATGAGTGATGAATGATGAAATTGAGTTCAATTCTCGTGCGGAAAGTGATGGCCTAGAAAGATGAGTATGGAGGGATGTACTCACTGGAGTAATCCTAAGCACACAGAGGGAGAGACTCGGTGACAAGGCCCCCGTAGGGGAACTCAACAATATTGAATAAATATACTACGTTGAGGCTCACTTTTAGCCTTGAAGCGCCTGAAAATCATGCCGAACGTCAGCACTCGATGTTGGCCAAACGTGGAGATTGATGTTCTGCCAACGTGGGGCCGCGGGACAGGCCTATGTGGGATCAACGTGTGTTCATGGTGTGCTGCCGAGGAAACATTCCGAAACTTGATTGCATAGGAAATATATCCCCAAAAAACATTACCGGAGAAAGTTTTACATTTGGCATGTGAATTGGAGAGATGCATCTGCGTGCAAGAAGAATTTCATAATGAGTGATTTTTTCGCTTTCACTGCATGAGAATATTTCAGTCCGGCAGAGCCACCAAGTGTTAATGCGGAGACTTCTTTCATTTCAAGACCTGTAAGTGTCCTTGAATAACCTCCCTTGAAATGTTCATGGACGTTAGGAAAACGAGAGACCTGCATTGAAAATGTGTCAGAGGAAGGTATTTGGTATCTTCCCCATTGCATTATCAGCTGCTTACGAGGAGTGGTTTCCTTCGCTGGAGAGCGAGCTTCGATTGGTAAGCCGGAAGTCCTTCGTACTGAACAGCTCTTGCTCAAGGCATATCTACTTGGCCGCATTCCGTAAAAAAAAAATCATGAGAGTTGAGGATGATTTTATACCGAGAGAAATGGGCATAACTTTAAAAAGGAAGTAAATGTTGAGAAGGAGGTAAGCGATTCCCCTTGAGTTTCAATGAGATTATGCATTTTCAAATTAATTACGCATGTCTTGGATTGTTTCAATAGATATGAAGTCCAAATAGACGTTGGGATTACTGTTTCCAGATGTGCAACTCAATTGCGCCTTCTTCAACGGGCGCGTTTAGTAAAATTTTCCAACTTCAAACGTATTTCCATAGGTTAAAATTAAGACATCCACTGAATGTTAATTTCCAAGTTCGGCATGCCAAGCAGCTCCTCTCCGAAGTGAAGCTAGAGAGGCTCGAAAAAGAAAGGTTTGCAGATTTGGTGCAGAGTTTCATTCCCTCAAGCCTTTATCTTCGGAGTTCAGATTGGGGGAATAAGTATCTAAGAGGTTTTATTGGGTTTTGTTTTTCTTAGTTTTTCAGCAATCGCTACATGCGACGAAACAAACTTAAAACACCACAATAATGGCAGTTGCCCATAAAATATTATAAATGTATTCTTCTTTCCAGAGAAACGTATGTGACGCCATAATTTTCTATTTGAAACAAGTCCCCATCCTTCTCAATTAATTTGCAATGAAAAAAGTGAAAAGGCAGTCGTTGGTCTTGAAATCCTGTCCTGTGAAAAAACGTTTTCTGCCGTAGGCTTTCTAAGGGACGGGAGTTTTTCCTGTTTACGCCGACAAGTGCTTCATTGTATGAGGCTTAGAGGCTACAAGATAAGGCCTTATCATGCACCGAAGGTCCTCGTCTTCTCGTTTCCTCGTATCGTTCCTCTCAGTGGGGTGCCGAGAGGCTTTTCATTCGTTTCAGATGCACAATGACGTAGCATAAGGCTTATTCTTGAGGGTCCAAGAGCGTTTTAAATTCCTATCTCCTGGGCAAGAAGGAGAGAGCGCTGAGCACATAGGGTTGGAGCAAAGAAGTTAAATGTGGTGGGGGAGGGGAGGGGAGTATGAGTCAAGGAGACTTTTATCTTTATATTGCCAGACCTCAGAGCTCACAAAGGCGTTAGCTGTTTGTCGGAATTGTGGGGTATGATGGTGATGATTCATGAGCTGAAGTTCGCAATACAGATGTTGTAGATGTTGATAAGCACGCCTTGAAATGGGCGTCAGTGTTCGAGGGGAGCCGCATTCTTTCAGACCAGAGATAAGATATGCTACAGGAGAAGCGCTTTGTGGGGGGAAAAAACCCAGCGTTGTTCATGGATTTTCAGGAATATGATGCCATATGATTCTTACTCATTTCCATAACTTCCTTTATTTCTCGTCAGATGTCTCTACTGACAATAGTTCAATTTCTTGCTCCTATTTCCTAAGCCTGTTAATAGGGTTCATTTCCAGAAAAAGACCTGATGTTACTTTTGGAGTGAAGTCATGTGCCTTCTCCATGAGGGTTTTTCAGATGTCGATATGCTTGTAATTGTTGTGAAGGCACTCCCTCACCCTCTCCTCAATCCCCTCCTTCTAAAAAGGAAATGTACAATCTTTATGAAAAGAATATAGAAATAAACGCCTCCTCTAACCCTTTGCCCCCCTCCCCCTCTGATCCACCAAATGATTACAAACTCTTGGTTAAAGAATTATATATATATTTTAAAACGTTATCTTCAGTAGATAGTGCCGTGATATTAGTAATTTTACTTTTTATGTGTTCCCCCAGAACATTTTTTTTTTTTTTCGAAAACGTCTGAGAGTTTATCAGGGCATTACCTAAGAGCACTAAATGCATGCAAGGAAAATGTTCATATTATTTATTTTATGCCTTTTCATGTGATTCTTTTAAAATTATTTTTTTAATAATATTTTTGCAGCAGGGGTCATTTTGTTCGGTTCCTCATTTTGATCGGGGAATCTTATTGTTCAGACTCTGAGACGACACTTCCTTTACGAAGTTTGAATTAATTGAGTACTCCTTATCTCTCATGAATCTCAACCAAAGCTCTCCCAAGTGAAGAATGTTCTGCGGAAAGTAATCAAACTCCTTCCCTTCCCTTTAATCCGCCACTGCTCTGCTTGTATGTCCTGTTCTAGCTAAGGTAGCCTTGATCCTCATTTGTCCAGTGACGTAGCTATCGAGTGTGCAAGCGGTGCAACTACGCAGGGGCCCACAAGCCAAAGGAGCCCAGGGGCCGGACTACGAGGAGGGGGGAAAGGCGAGGAGTGGGCGCTGGCAGTTGGCTAAGGCCAGTGGCGTACTTTTACTGACAATCCACGACACCAACCAGGGGCGGAAAAAATTTCGACAAGAGAGAGCCAAGCTCTTGTCAGATTTAGAAAAGTGGTTTAATTATGTTTTTTTGATGAGCGCAATTCATTAAGTGTGGATGGAAGAAATACACTCTAAATACATAGGGCGGATTCTTGTACTGTCGTTTAGGTAAAGGAGCTTTTAAATATTAAAAGACCTTTAGCTAAAAGGAAGTTTAATATTTGTTCTGCTTCCTTCTCTTAAACCTGTGCTAGCTAAAATGTATTTTATAAATCTGACTGAAGCATTTGACAACCCCGGTTGCAAACATGGCGAGTTCGAGTGTTGATAGCAAGTCCACTAAGAGGCGTGAAAGGGGTGAAAATTTCTCGATTGAGGACCGAGATTGCCTAATATCCCTAGTGAAGACCGATAAGAGCATCATCGAATGCAAGAAGGGTGACAAATGAGCACTGCTCTGAAGAAAAAAGTATGGGAGAAGGTGGCGTTCGAGCTTGAGGCCCAGTTTCCGTCAAAACCAAAGAGAAAAGCATCACCGCAATCTGATGCACGATCCAAGAACAAGAGGACAGGTGGAGGTCCACTTCTGTCAGAGCTCACCATAGAGGCCCAAAAAGTTTTGGATACGGTGGATGGAGCTCTGGCTGTCCATCTCCAGAATCCAAATGATGAAGATAGTAAAGTAGCACACAACAATTATTTACCCGACAGGTAAGCGATTCGTGTTTTAAAGCATGTCTCTCATTTATTTGCATTAAATCAGCTGTGTCAAATTTTCATAATACCTTTTGAGAATCTTTTATATTCAGTGTTGACTTGCCGCACCCTGCTGCGAGTCCTTGAAAAGTTGCGAAAAAGGAGCCGCCAGAAATTCCAGATGGGATATGGCACCTGCCAGAGCTGAGCAGCAATAGAATGCCATCTTATGAACAGGATGAATTGAAACTTGGGGTCAGCTGCGCAAGTGAGGCATTCCCAGCAATTGAAACTGCTAGATATTTTGCGAGAGAAAAAGGATCCTATGAAGATACAGCAAGAAATGATGGCAATACAGACAGAAGTATCGATGATGAAACTTGTAAAATCGGAAAGGGAGCTGTCATCTTTCCAGCACTTATACGCTGTTCCATAGTAGTCACTAATTTGTCATTGTGTCCATTAAAAAGAATACAAGAATTTTATTCGTCGCAGGATATGACGATTTTCTGAGATAATAATTACGCGAAATGATTTTGCTCTCTTTCATTCCTCACATAAGAATTGGCATGCATGTCATTTACGTTGGTAGGATTCACTCTTGGCCAAAATCATTCTTTCATTCTTGACAGTTCTTCATCTGACGGTTCGCGGAGCTCATCTCGGAAGTACAATGCCATGTTGTGCAACACTGAGATAGCAACTATCATTGTTAACACATTAGTTTCTTGCGGTTCAAATATAGACAGCAAGGAAAACTTTTCTTCAGGACACCAAATATCCTTTCAACGGCGCTCCGTGCCCTCACGTGAGCTCTGTTGTATCTACGTTGAGCAGGAGTTTCAGGGGTGATGAAGGGTGTCAGAAGATGGGCGGTACATTTATATCCTCCATCGCCCAAAATAAAGCGATTTGACACTTTTTCTGCCTCCAGTGCCTCACATAGGGATGAGTTGGAGAAGATTCTCTGATCGTGCACAGATCTGGCCCGGCTGGCAACAACATTCAATATTTTCATGTTTGCATTGCACGCCATTTGTACGTTCACAGAGAAATACCCCTTTCGACATCTGTAAAGTTCGATTGTGGTCCCTCCAGAATTGCCCATCTCAGTATGTGTGCAGTCAATAGCATCGACCACTCCTGGGAATCCAGCAGGCAGACAGAATTCCATTTTAAGCCTATCATATTCTGCGGGACATGGGAATGTCACCCATTGAGGTCTCAAATTCGCAAGGGCTCTTGCAACTTGATGAATGCATGCATTCACAGCAGATTTCGAGAGGTGAATCCAATCCCCCAGCACCTCATGAAAAGAATTCGTTGTGAAGAAGCGCAATGCGATTAGATCTTGTAAGATGGGATGCACGTCCATTTTTTGTCGCTGTTGGTGAAGGCGTGTAGTCAGCAGCTGGGTAATTTCCACAATTGTCTCCTTCCCGAATCGAAATCGACGTTTGAATGCTTCATCGTCCAGAGCACGCATTGGATCTCTACGATCTACAAGACTTCGAACCACACAGTGATGATCACAAGCCCTTACACGACGGACAGTGTGAAGATTATACAGTTGTCCCAGCGTCTCCATTTTGACAATGCCAAGAAGCTGTTTTAACTGAACCCCAAGACCACCTTTAAAATCCTCATGATATAGAAGGGCCTTTAGCGTTAAAGCTTGTACAAGAATCGCATTTAGCTAAAAGGAGTGATTAAAAGCCGTTTAGCAGCTGAAAGATGGTACAAAAACCCACCCGTAATTATTTTAAAGTCACCACCCTATTTTGATCGGCTATAACTTTTCAAGGGATTGTCAGATTCAGGTGATATTTGACAGAGAGGTTCATGAGTCCAGGAGATTTTTTTCCAATGTCACAAGATGGCGCTGCATTCCGATAAAGGGCGCTGATGTCGACCGTAGCGCCACCTATCTACTTGCTGTGTCATTATTTAGGCATGGGAAAAATACCGTTCAGGTATATTAATCTCTCTGCCAAATATCAGCTGCATCCGAGAGTTCTTTCAAAAGATATAGTCAAACAAAGTTGGATGGTAGCTTGTAACAATTGAACTTTGTTTGGTCATAACTTTTAAATGAATAGTCAGATGCAGTTGATGCTTGCTAGTTCCTTTACAAAGCAAAGGAAAATCACTGATTACTTGTCAGAAATGGGTAAAACCCAAAGAGCCCCGAATAAAAGGCGTTGTAATAATTTAATTTTGTATATGGAGTATCAAAGTTTCCCTCGATACGAATAAAAGCCAATCAAATGGGAATGTCATCGCTCCGTGAAATCGAATTTTTGAGGACGGAAAAATCGCCCTCTGGTTATGTCCCTTAACGTGAGGATTTCTTTTATGGGGTGGGAGGGGGGAGGCAATTCCTGATAACTCGAACTTCGGATAACTCGAAACGATTTGCCCGTTCCCGAAAAGTTGGAGTTAACGAATTTTCACTGTACTTGCTTGATATTATGAATGGAAAATATTACATAGGAGCAAAGAGACAGAGCAACTGTACACAGAAAAATAACTAATATGCCGTTCTCGAATAGAAACTTCCACATGGAAGAAAGATTCGCGGATTTGGACGAAAATAGCTGGTGCTTTGCATCGTGGACGTCATAGGCAGGCGGATGACGCTAGCAAATAAAAGCCCGAAGAAAAAAGGGAAGGGGTGCCACGCATCTAGGCTGAAGACAGCTGTGCACGTATCTGTCTCTTTCCTCCTCTCAGCCTCTTCTGTTGTGAATGAAAATTCTATGCCTACTTGCGCACCGCAGATTAATTTTTCGCGAGTAGCTGCTTGCGAACCGTAACCGTCTAATGGGCGGAAATGTGAGAATGTTTACAAAAAGATATGAAGCAGTTCGGTTCAAACCAAACGTTAAAAAAATTTCAAACAAGCCTCGAGAAGCTCGAAAGTGTTGCCGCCCAGCTAATTTATTATCATCGAGACCACGCTTCACAGATAAGTCACGAGTGAAGGAATTAGGGCTGTACCGGTGGCAACATTTGGCAGGTGGGACGATGGCCGATTTTTTCCTCATAACCATCGGCCGGTGCCGGTGCCAATTGTGGCCTCTAGAAGAAATCGCCTATAAGTTCAAATAGGCCATGTGATCGGAAAGCATGTGATACTTATCAGTAGGTCTCCTCGAAACGATAGAGACCACTTTCGATCCTGTCTAGCCTGACTGTCCCTCGATGCTTCTGTTCGTGGTTAGCTGGCTACCCATTGCAGCAGTTGAGAGCATTTCGTGACACATGTATTGCAAATGCATAACGTAAATGGAGGTGCAATGATTTCCCGTTGTTCACCGCTACTTTCTTCCGCTCATTCCTATAATACAGCTGTGACACAATCCGATCGATACTTATGTCTGGGAAAGGCTGGCAGGAGTGGCCGAAGTGAGACAGGAAGGCCGGTGCCACCTAATTTTCTTTTTTCGCTTTGCCCCGTCCTTTGGGCACAGGATCGGCACCGTCACCGTTGCCATAGGCCGACGGCCGATGATGCCGGTAAAGCATCACCGGCGGCCGATACCGGTGTTAGCCGAAACATCGGTACAGCCCTAGAAGGAGTGAATCGTGAATGGAAAAGGCCATTTCAAATTCAAAAAAGCGACAAATGAGGAAAAATAATTTATTGTGGAAATCAATGTAAGAAAATTGATCACAAATTCTGAAATATTTGCAAGATTAGTAGAAGAAATCACGGCAAATATAAATTTGAATATCGAAATCAAGAACATAAAACTTGGTAGCAAAACCGATTTATTGAAGGAAGTTGGAATTGGAATACCAAATTGTTTATGGCCTAGCCTATGATCCAGAATGGCAGAGTCTTGTAGGCCTGGCGCGTTAGAATTGACAGCCGTCACAACATTCGGCCTCTTTCAAATAAAGTATTAGATTAGATTAGATAATGAATAGCGAAATATATGAAGTGTGTGGACCTATGCATAACTTCTGAATAACAACAGGAAAACGTCATGAGAATTTAAAAAAATGCACAGCTGTGCGTTCCCACTCGGTATCTACACCTATCCTATGACTCAACCAATGCTAGCATGATATTGAGCTAAGATATTGATAGGAGATTAGACATTCACATGTGAAACAGAAACAACGGAGCTTCATCTGTGCTACGAAGAAATCACTGCACATGCAAACAGCAATAGCATTTCCAGCGAGATACAAATGAAATAATGTTCTCATTCCGTTCCTTTCATCATTGTTTTCCTTGATGACATGCAAAAGGAATTGCACCTACTGTAGATGTGGTGTCCTTTTTTACAATTTCATCCTAAGATGGTGATTTTGAGATCGAGTTATCCTACTGGGCCCTAAGGTTTTCTTAACATATGATATCAAATTCTTTATTTTAATGCCATCCACATCCTCATCGAGAACTGTTCCCTGGACTTCCGATGAGTAACACATACTGTCAGTTCAGCAGTATATTGAATGAAATTAGAGTTGATTTTTCAACATGGGCGGTTTTTTTTTTCTTGCTGGTGGTCATTCCAGCGGAAGTAATCCAAAATGAAAAGAAAATAGTGGTAGCATGACAAACTTGTTTGTTTGATTCCTGATTTTCACCCAGGTACAGAGTGTCCATAAAGTTACTTCCTTATTCACCCATAGCGATGAAGGCGGGTCCTTTGCGAATTTGTTTGCCCTTCGGCGAACTTATCTAAGTTTGGTAAAGAAAGTGCTGTTGTGATGTTGACTTAATGAAAAATCATACATTTGACGCATACTCTCAGGTAAAAAAATTTTTTGAGAGGTATATCTTATCATTCTTCTCTGTGGGAACGTATCTCCAGACAATTTTCGCTTTATTGAAAAAGGCAGATAGGACTGAAACCTGAAGCGGACATTATATCCGTAGAAACATCAATGAGGTGAAAAGAAACATTTGGAAAGAAAATCAGGACTTAGTGGGTTCAAGCCACCACTACACTTAAATTTTCTCCAATGAAACGGATCTGAAAAAAAAAATCGCCGCTAGCATTATGATTGAATTAAGCCTATGACCCATGAGTGGACATTCAGGCCTAAACCAACCTTACACATATTTCCTCCAAAGGAACACGTACAATAACCGGATGCATTGTAATTCGTTGGTCTATGACTTACTTCAGGGACGAACCATTAAGCCTATGTCACCCTTACATGCATAATTTATCTATTTGAACTAGTAGAAAAAATCTATGGAGGC